CCCCACAGGCGGCTTTCGGATGACAAATGAAACATAGGTAAAACATACTCCAAAATGGACAACTAATAATCAAAGAACACCCCACACTGAGGTCGGGCATGTCCCCCTACAGGCGGCTTTCGGACGACAAATGAAACACAAGTTAAACATACTCCAAAATGGACAACTAATAATCAACATATCGTCTTCAGACTATGTTTGGACTATTTCTGACTCCACCTCCTGTAGAGGGACAGGCCCGACTTAACCCCAAACGGACGTCCAGGGGCGCAATCAACCTGTGCGGTCAGGCTGAAAATGATGCACCACACCCGGCGTCAAGCCAAAACTTTGGACATAGGCAAACGGTGGGACTTTGCACATCTTCGTCGGCTTAACCGGCGAGGCGTTTGACCACCTCGACGTCTTTGTTTGGTGCTCCTGCAGAGGAAGGCGCTCCCTGAACCTTGGCCCGAATCAAGTGATCATGAGGCTTGGAAGTTGCAGCGCGTTCAGTAGTGGCGGGCGGGTCCTTCTTTTGATGGGGCTCATGCCTTAGCGCCACGCGCATTCGCCTCAAACGCAGATAATGAGACAGACGGAGGGAGGTTGCGTCTCAGCACGGATTTTCTCTAGCGTGCCTCTTGAGTGGGGCGGGCGTGCTTTCCACCCGTGGCCCTCGCCCTGACCGCGGCGCACATCAGGTCTCAAGAGGTGGCACCTCGCAGCAGTCACAGGGAGGGAGGGAGGAAGGGCGCCAGGTAAGCAGAGAAGGATTCATCGCTGCACACTGCCCCCATTGTGCAAACATAAGAAGGAGGGGGCGGAGGAGGAGGAGAAGGAGGAGGAGGGACGACGAGAAGGAGGAGGATGAGGAGGAGGATGAGGAGGAGGAGGAAGGAGGAGGAGGAGGTGGTGGATGGGAGGAGGAGAGAGGAGGAGGGAGGAGGAGAAGGGAGATGGAGGAGGAGGAGGAGGAGGTAGGAGGACAAGGCTGCACGATCGTAACCTCTGCACGGATGGAGGGCGGTTCCCTCTCAACATGGATGTTCCCGACGGGGGGGGGGCCTTTCCGAAACGACGCCCTCGCTGGACGCCTCGTCGGCCTGGGGACGGGTGGGTGTGCTGCGGCATCGTTGGCGCAGCCTGGCTTTGCACTCGTCCGCCGCCTCCTCCTCAAACCGCCTCCTCCTCGTCCTCCTCCTCCTCCTCCTCCTCTCCTCTTCCTCCCTCCGCCTCCTCCTCCTTGCCTCCTCCTCCTCCTCTCCTCTTTCCTCCTCCGCCTCCTCCTCCTCCCCGCCCTTCCTCCATCCTCCTCCTCCTCCTGCATCCTCCTCCTTCCTCCTCCTCCTCCTCCTCTTCCTCCTCCTCTTCCTCCTCCTCCTCCAACCGCCTCCAACATGCTACTCCTCCTCCTCCCAACCCAAAGCCCATCTCCGCCCTCCTCCTTCCTCCTCCTCCTCCTCTCCTCCCTCCTTCTCCTCCTCCTCCTCCTCCTCCTCCTCCTCCTCCTCCTCCTCCCCCCCCCTCCTCCTCCTTCCCCCTCTCTCCTCCTCCGCCTCCTCCTCCTCCTCCTCCTCCTCCTCCTCCTCCTCCTCCTCCTCATCCTCCTCTTCCTCCTCCTCCTCCTCCTCCTCCACCTCCTCCTCCTCATTCCTTTCTCGGACGAGGGCCCGCCGAGACAACGGCGGCCCGGACTGCCTTGTTCCGCTGTGTTCTGGCCCCCTGGAGGCCTCTCGCTCCCACACGTTAGCATCCGCCTCGACAGACGTGTCAGGAGAGACCCCAAGAGGAGGAGGAGGAGGAGGAGGAGGAGGAGGAGGAGGAGGAGGAGGAGGAAGAGGAGGAGGAGGAGAAGGAGGAGGAGGAGGAGGAGAAGGTGGTTGGAGCACGAGGAAGGAGGAGAGGAGGAGGAGGAGGAGGAGGAGGGGGCGGAGGAGGAGGAGGAGGAGGAGGTAGCGCCGTGGCCATGAGGCAGGAGGAGGAGGAGGATCGAAAAGGGGGCCAAGATCGTACAAGAGGAAGAGGAGGCGGAGGAGGAGGAGGAGGAGGAGGAGGAGGAGGAGGAGGAGGAGGAGGAGGAGGAGGAGGAGGAGGGGCCCAGGGACCGACTTGATCGGCTTCGGGGACTCGGGGAAGCGGGGGGCCTCCTCTACAATCAGATCTTGCTCCTCACTTCAGGAGGGCCCAGAATCGAATCGATGAGCGAAGCGGCGATCGGAATGAATCGGATCGGCGGGCATCGGTAGCGGAGTCGGGAAAAGTCGAAACGGTAGACATCGGCAGGCTAGTAAGCCTCCAATAAGACATCGGATCCCGAATCGGCATCCGAAATCGAATTGAATCGGAACTGGAGTCCATCGAAATCGAATCGAATCGAATCAGAGGAATCGAAGGGAGCCCTGTCCCCTGTCCACGCGGTCCACAGAGCAACCTGAAGCAGCAGGTTCTCGACAGAAGCCGCCGCCCTGGGGACCAAAACCCCGCGGGCGCAGGCCCTCGAAACGCAGCGACTGCAACATGCTTCTCGAGAAGACAGCAGGTCGGCGGCGAGCGAGGGGGGAGATGAGAAGGAGGAGGCCTTCTCCGAAGGCGGCGAGACCTCTGAGAAACCCTCGTGCCTTCTGAGAGTGTTTGCCTGTCTTCGGGAAAGGCTCAGACAGCCTCTCAGAAGGCCGGGGGACCTGTGACCCTTCCGAGAAGGCCTTCTCCTTCTCACTTCCCCCCCTCGCTCGCCGCCGAACAGAGGAACTGCGCGAGCGGATTCGCTGATCGACTTGGTAGCGTGGGGCTCTACCATCCCTCAATGTCGGGCATGCAAAGCGGCACCACGGGGTCTGTGGCGCAAGCTTTTCTCCTTTCTCTTCGTCCTGTTCACCCTCAGCATGGGGGGAGCGGGGAGGAGGAGGAGGAGGAGGAGGAGGAGGAGGAGGAGGAGGAGGAGGAGCAAGCTTTTCTTCCTTCTCTTCGTCCTGTTCACCCTCAGCATGGGGGGAGCGGGTCCTCAGGGAAGCGGATCCTGGGCCCCAGGGCCGTCCTCCAAGACCACCTTCTCATGCATAATCATCTTCTGACACTCCCTGGACCCGTGGAGGGGCCCGAGAGCCGTACAAAGGCGAAACAACCCAGGACCCCTCTCCCTCAGGACCCGCGTCCGCCATTAGAACGAGAACACAAACGCCATAACCATAAACTCTTGGATCTGCGCTGGCCCCCCTCACAGGCGCGCGGAGCGCGCCAGGGGCGGCGCCGGGGGCGCCGCCAGGGGGGCTTAGCGCGTATCCAAGAAATCCGCGCGGAGCGCCGAAAGTTTATGCTCATGCCGTTTCTTCTCATTTCCCCCTCCCCACCCTCGATGAGGGCGATGAGGGCGAGACGCAGAGGACGCAGAGGGCGATGAGGGCGAGACGCAGATGAGCGCCAGGGGGAGACGCAGAGGAGCGATGAGGGCGCGACGCAGATGAGCGATGAGGGCGAGACGCAGAGGAGCGCCAGGGGGACTGGGGACGGCTGAGCGGGCTCTGGCAGTTGATCCTGGGAGGCACGCGGAGGCTCCTCCTCCCCCTCCTCCTCCTCCCCCCTCCTCCTCCTCCTCCTCCTCCTCCTCCTCCTCCTCCTCCTCCTTCTCCTCCACAATTACTCAATATGAAAATACTCTCCCTCTTCCCCTGATGGCGTCCGGGTGATGGCCGCGCATTCTCCGCGTACTGTTTTTTACACACAGGATGCCCGGGAAATACCGGGAAACGACTCTCGCTGAGGCGCCGGCGTCATTTTCGGGCCGAACGCCCCCCGCGTACTGATTTTTTACACACAGGATTCCCGGGAAACGGGTTTTCGCCTGCGTTATATATATATATATATATACACACATATATATATATATATATAATTCTATATATAATAAAAAATGATGCTCTCACTGAGGCGCCGGCCTCATTTCTGCTCCCGAATCGTTCCGAATCGTGCTCCCGCTGCAGCGTGGGCCTCATTTTCGGATCGGTGTTTGGCCTCCGTCGTTCAGGATGGCGTTCTCGCCCCAGCGCGGGCCTCTTTCTCGCGCGCCCATCCGCCCGCCACCACCGCGCCACCACCACCACCACCACCACCACCACCACCACCACCACCACCACCACCACCACCACCACCACCACACACCACCACCAGCACCAGCACCAGCACCAGCACCAGCACCAGCACCAGCACCAGCACCAGCACCAGCACCAGCACCAGCACCACAACCACGCACACACGCACGCACGCACGCACGCGCACCACCACCCACTACGCACGCGCGCGCGGAGCCACAGGTCCGCTACGACACGCGTCCGCGGATAGAGAAAATCAGCGCCATGGTAAGGGATGGGAGGGAGGGGTAGGACGTCAGATATGACGCGAGCGCACCTAGCTTGTCTCCTCCCCCTCCCTCCCTTCCTCCCCACCTCCCTTCCTCTTCCTCCTCCCCCTCCCCCTCCTCCTCCTCCTCCTCCTCCTCCTCCTCCTCCTCCTCCTCCTCCTCCTCCTCCTCCTCCTCCTCCTCCTCCTCGAGGGATGGGAACAAAGAGCGTGGATGGGTCTTTGGTGGCGCGCACGAGATCGTAGGGGGAGGAGGGAACGCTTCTTCGAAGGAGGCTGCTTCTCAGAAGGCGCCGGTCCTGCATCGACAGACGAGGCCCGCGCCTTCTGAGATGTAGAGGTACTTCCAAGAAGACTTCCGTCCTCCCCCACACACCCCTCTGCGCGCCGCCAAGGGTTCCAGCAGGAAGCTCCGGGGAACAGCGCCTCCACCGTCTCCAGCCCCGACTTTCGGAGGTCCGCGCTCCTTTCTGGGGTCGGCGCTCGCCCCCCCCCCCGATGCCCTTCCCAGAGCACTCGGGGCACACCGGGGGCAGCGCAAGCGGCGCCGCACCGATGTGCGGGGATGGGTCCAGCGCCGGCCCAAGGCATCGGCGCGGACCTCCGTGAGGTCATGCTTTTTCAATACTCGGGTGCCCGTTGACGGGATCAGTCGACAACATGTGAAGAGAGGGCTTCTAGATGGGGTCGGAGTAACTGGGGTCGGATCCGCATCGCCGATACATCGGCGATGCATCGGCTTTGCACCGGCGATGCAGCATCGACGTCGGCGATGCATCGGCGACGTCGACGTGAAGCAAATCGGGCTGCACATCGAGCCGCATGGGCGTTGCATCGGCGATGCGGCACGATCCTCCGACCCCATCCAGGATGAAGGGGCCCAAGGACACACAAATAAATACACACAAATAAAAATATTCCCCATATTTTCCCATATTTTCTGGGTTGCTGTCTTCCCCCCCCCACTTCCCATATTTTCCCAATATTTTCTGGGGCATCGAGGATTAGTAATTGTGTCTGTGTGTTTTCTCCCCTCCTGACTTCTGTTGGGCCCGCGGTGGCACTTCCGTTCAGGGCCCCCTGTAGGGCCAGGTCCCAGAGATCCGATGTCCCGATGTCTTCCACACGCGGTCCCCCGAAGTCTCGACCCATTCCCCGGGACCGGCTTTTCGTCCTGAGCCGATGTTTGACGGTCCCTGGGCCCGGCCAGGGCCCCTATAGAGGCCGACCGTTGGGAAAAACCTCTACCTTGATTTTTCAGTGCGTTGGGTCCCTGGGCTCTCCCGCAACCCTCGAGCCCCCCACGCGTGGACGAGGAGGAGGAGGAGGCGGAGGAGGAGGAGGAGAAGGGGAGGAGGAGGAGAGGGGAGGTGGAGGAGGAGGAGGAGGCGGAGGAGGAGGAGAGGGCGGAAGAGTAGGAGGAGGAGGTGGTGGAGGCAGGAGCAGTGAGGCGGAGGAGGCGGCGGGTAGGCGGCTGGGGGGGGAGGCGGACGCCGACGAGGAGGAAAGGAGGAGGGCCCTCCTCTGGGGTGAGCTCTGCGCACATCGGCGGCCTGCCGAGCAGCCGGCCTACCTGCGCGTAGAGCCTCGCGCGGGCGCGGTGGGTGCCCGCCTGGCCGGCGTGGCCCTGGTTGTCGGGGCCCGACGCCGCAGCCTCAGGGCACGGACGGGCGGGTGGAAGAACAACAAAAAACCATCAACATAAACTTGTGGCGCTCCTCCTCCTCCTCCTCGAAGAAGAAGAATAATAATAAGAGTAATCAGATCAGAAGAATAATACGAATAAGAATAATAATAACCAATATAATAATAATAATATTAAGAATAATACTAATAATAATAATACTAATAATAATATTGATAATAATATTGATAATAATAATAATAATGCTAATAATGCTAATAATAATAATAATAATAATAATAATAATAATAATAACAACTAATGCTGTAGACAAAACTTTTGGCGCTCCGAGCGGACTTCTCGGATCCGCGCTGGACCCCCTTGCCTGGCGCGCGGAGCGCGCCAGGAGTGGCGCCGGGGGGGGGGGGGGCAGCGCGGATCCAAGAGATCCGCGCGGGGCGCCAAAAGTTGATGTTTGTGGCGTTTTTGCCTCTGCGAGCGGGCGCGGGCTCCAAGGGGGCTGTCTGCACACTGACGCCTCCCGTGCACGCGCGTCGGCGTCCATCGGGGACCTGAGAAGGAGGAGGAGGAGGAGGAGGAGGAGGAGGCGGAGGAGGAGGGGGAGGGCCGTCCGCACACTGGCGCCACCACCCGTGCACGCGCGTCAGCGACCATCGGGGACCAAGGATCGGCATGCTCTCTAACACCTCCTGGGCCGATGGTGTACCTCGCTGGACATCGGCAGGCCCCTGGGCCTCCGGGGGACCTCCAGGGAGCTCTGGGCCCACTCCTTCCCCGGGGACGCGGGAGGGCCTTTGGTAGGGGGTTCGCATGTGGCCCCCTGGTTGGGCACGAACCCGCGGGCAGCCGACGCATGCACAAACACGGAAACCAAAATGTACCGATACCGCTACTCCCCGGACCTCTCCCGGGGTGCTTTCCGACAAGAATTTCGAGGCGGATCCAGCGGTAGCGACGGGAGCCTCCCAGGAGGCCCGGAAAAGGGAAAAACCAGGGAGGGGTAGAGGTATGGGTATCTTTTCGCCCTCTGAGGCTCGCGAAATACCGACGTAGCTGCAGTTGCGAATCAGAGTTAGGCCGGGCATGTCCTTCTACTGGGGCATTTGGAAGAAACAACAAAATAATACACCACGCGAATTCAAACATGGGCAACACATACAAGAAAAACGTCCTGCTTTGACTGTGATTGACCTTTTTCTTGGGGGGTATTTCGAATATACAAGAAATACAAGAACTACAAATCGTCCAAGAGCTATCGTCCAAGAAAAAAGACAAGGACAACAATTTTTGACTATGCTTGAATATTCGGCGGTGGACCAACCATACCTCCCTTTAGTAAACCACCCTTTGGTGAAAACGGCCTGGGGATGCCGACGGGCCTGGACCCGCAAAAATGACGGCCGCGACGCCCCCTCGCAAACCGAAAACGGCCAATCCGCTAAATCGACGCGTCGTGGTAGGAGGCCTGCCCACCCCCGAGATGCATTCCTCCTGTAGAGGGACGTGCCCGACTTGAGGGCGGAGGGATGCTGCGCGGGTCGCTCTGGTGCGCGGGCCGCTGGCTGGGTAGTCGAGGCCAATCTGGCGCCAATCTGGCAGGCCCAATCTGGCAAACGGGGGCAATCTGGCGAGGGAGCCAACGCGAATCCTCCAGTCTGGCCGGGCCAGATTGGCCCTTGGGGCCCAATCCAATCTGACAGTCTGGCCTTCGACTACCCAGCTGTAGAGGGACGTGCCCGACTTGAGGGCAGAGGAGGAGGAGGAGGAGGAGGAGGAGGAGGAGGAGGAGGAGGAGGAGGAGAGGGAGAGGTTGGTAGAGGAGAGGGAGGAGTTGGAAGAGGAGGAGGAGAAGGAGGAGGATGATGAGGAGGAGGAGGAGGAGGGATGCTTCGCGGGTCGCTCTGGTGCGCGGGCCGCCGGCGGGCTGCGGCGGGCGCGGGCCGCGGCGGGGGCGTGTGCCCGGAGGGGCGGGGCGTCGACCGTATCGGCGGGCCGCGGGGGCGGGGCGCACACAGGAGTGGGTGGGCGGGGAAAAGCCCCAACGCAACGCGTAACCCCCTCTCTCCCCGCGTACCTGCCGCGGGGTGCGCTCGGGGGTCGCGCCTCGCCTCGCCCCGTGACTTCGCACGGTTCGTCCCTCGTCGATGCTACCCCACGAGGCAGCCCTTGCGGGCGCAGCGCGCTGCGGGCTCGGGCTGGCTTGGGGCGCTGACCTAAGGAGTCCTAGATAAGGAACGAGGCCCCTTTTTCCCAAAAGTTGATCTTCGGTTCTCCATGGGAAACCTTCGGGAAACCGAAGGCAAACTGCACAACAGTCAAGGAACGCCGAGCCCCCCCCCAACGAAAAGGGTTCCTTCTTCAACGCCCCGACTGTAGGGTTAGGTCGGGCATGTCCTCCTGCAGGCGGCTGGAGGAAGATCAACAATAGTGCATCGTCCAGAAAAGTAGCCCAGGATGCTGGAAAATTGTTAAAAGCAAATCGCCCCCAGACTCATCAAGGCTAGGGTTAGGTCGGGCGTGCCCTCCCACATGCGGATTTGGACGAAACATAAGACATACCCCTATAACATAATCAAACAATGCAAAACCATAGTTGGAACATTGCCCCGAGGCTATTCTTGGACCACTATTCTTGAAGATTCCCCCTGTAGAAGGACATGCCCGACGTAAGCTCAGGCTGGCTTGGGGCTCATCGAGGGCAGGGCCGGCAGCGTGAGCCGCGGCAAGGCATGGCTTGGACGTGAGGCGTGCGCGCGGATGGCGGCGCCGCGGCACCGTCGGCGCCAGGCCTCCCCGCGGGGTGTGCGTCCGCCGGATGCCCCTGGCCAGGCCTTGCAGTCCCAGCGTGGCCGCCCGGCCAGCGCCCAGCGCGCGCTCTCCCCCCTTCCCAATCTAGATATCCTCGCGCCGTAGGCACGTCGCGGCGGATACTTTTTGGCCGCTTGCGATCTCCGGGGGCCCTCTCCGAGCCCCGGGGCTGCCAAGGGGCGACTCAGGATGAAAGGCGGGTCCCCAGGAAGAGGAGCAGATCTCTGGGAAGCCACGCTGCGAACAGGAATCACGACGTGGGATGTTTGGATCCCGCGCCCTCCTGTCGTTTGTCTGTCGTCCGTGGCTTGTCTGTCGTGTCGTGTCGTTTCTTTTCAGATCTTAGCCACGGGGCTCCTCTCTCGCCTTTGCTGGAAAATGCTCCTGGGGGGCCGTCCTGGCCGCTGGCGGGCCCTCCCGGGCGGGTCGCGGGCGACGACGATGGCGACCAACAGTATGCTCAAGAACGGCCGCTCTTGTTTGACCGTGTGCCGTTCAAGCACAGTGCCGTTTTCAATGCCTGCTCCGCGAGCGGATCATGTATACATAATGCAGGGACTCAGTACTAAAAACAACGATAAGCTCATGCATTAACTCATTCAGAAATCAATCATGTACTACAAACATATATATATATATATATAAATACCCATCGGTCGGAAGAAGTGGGTAGAAACATGAAGTAGGAAGGCGTTGGAAATAGATCGGGTTTCCGCCCCGCCTCCTGAAGAGGAGGGAAGAGGGAAAACCACTCGACTCTTGAAGTAGGAAGGCGCTGAAAGTAGATTGGAATCTGGGAATCCAAAAATACCTACTTTCAACGACCGAGGGGTATATATATATGTGTTGAAACATCAGAGGTATCCCAAAGCATGGAGTACTGCCCTCGCCGTCTTCCACCGTGCCCGCATTCGGGGGTGCACTCCGGCGGTGGGCAGTGGGAGGACTGGCCACATCCCGAGCGTGGTTACAGACGCGCCCCCCCCCCGCTCGTTGGCTCGTGAGCTCTTATTAAATTCTCTTTCTTGAGCTCACATATGAATGCATTTTGATTTACTTTTTGTTTATGACAGTCAGCATTGAAAATGCCAACAAACTCCACGAATGCCCCCATCTTACACACGTTAATGCCAAGAGGTTAATGCCACATCCCGAGCGCTTCAATCAAGTGTAAAACCCCAGTTCGTCAAGGTATGGGATGCACAAAAACATACTAGTACTAGATGTTCTCCTTGGAGGCGCGCGTCCGACCCAAACATGTAGTATACCCATCTTGTAGTATATCGTTTCCCGAGCGGTGTGGCCAGAAAGCGCCCGCCACGACGCATGTACTATAAGATTTCTCGGTGCGCGCGTCGCCCCTGGGGGGGCGACGCACATTTAGTATAAGTATGTTGGGATGTTGCCGATTACAGACGCGCCCCCCCCACCCGAGCGCTTCAATCAAGTGTAAAACCCCAGTTCGTCAAGGTAGAGCGCTCGTCCAAAGCCTTGCGCTAAGACCGCAAAAAGCAGCCCGATGCCGATTCGTCTGGCTGACTGTTGGGACTGCCGCCCGCTGGCTGCTTGCATGCTGCATTCTTGGGGAAGGAGCTGGGTCGCGGTGAGCCGCTTGCTGCTTGCCGACGGGCCGCAGCCTCCAGCATCTGGGCCGCCTCCTCGTACGTCTCGCCAAGGCGCCGGATGCGCTCCAAGAGGTCGCCATCGTCCGCCACGGCGTCGCACGAGAGCAGCCGCGCGAGGATGCTCGCCTGGAGGCAGCGGGGAGGCCACGGGCGAGAGACGCACGGCAGAAGGGAGGAGGAGGAGGAGGAGGAGGAGGAGGAGGAGGAGGAGGAGGAGGAGGAGGAGGAGGAGGCGGAGGAGGATAAGGAGAAAGAGGAAGAGGCGGAGGAGGAGGGAGGAGGAGGAGGGGGGAGGAGGAGGAGGAGGAGGAGGAGGAGGAGGAGGAGGAGGAGGAGGAGGAGGAGCGAGAGACGCACGGCACCAGGAGGCTGGAAACGCACTCGGCCGGACACGTGCGCGGAGCACGCGGGGGCCACACGCCAGATGCCCAGCCAAGGCACCAGCCAAGGCACCGAGAGCTGGTCAGACCGTGCGGCCACGAGTGCATCCAGCAGCTCTGGCCCAGGGGTGACAAATCGTGTCTGTTCAGCTTCCCTGGTGCTCCACCATGGTGATATTCAGGGATGCGGCTTGAAGCAGATGTTAGCCAGCGTGGATCCACAATGGCGATCTCTTGCCATCTGTGCGGTGCAAGCTGGGTTCTGCAATCCATGTGGTGAAATCTGGGCGGTTCAATACATGTGTTGCCATCTCTGTGGCGCAAAGCAATTCAAAACTACGCAAACCAATTCAAAGCAATGTACAGCAATGCATAGCAATGCAGAGCAATACAGAGAAATGCAGAGTGACGCAGAGCAATGACAAGCAACGCAGAGTAACGCAACGCAAAGCGATGCAAAACTATACAGAGCGCCGCAAAAGCAACGCAAAATAATGCAACGCGCTGCGACGCAGCCTATGCCATGATAAGAAATGCAAAACAATGCGCAGCAAGGCCGTGAGCGTCTCCGGAAGCCCACCCCTGGAGGTGGACGCCTCAGCAAGCCTCCGAGAGCCTTCAGAAAGGCTCCCGGAGGCCAACACAAAGGACGATATGCCCATCCGCTCCCTCCCCCCCATACCAAGGCTGCCTCCTACCATCGCTCCCTGCACTTGCCAAACCTGCCCCCTTCCACTGCTCTGCCGTGACCCCTACCCCGCCCTGCCCCTCCTCCTCCTCCTCCATCTCCTCCTCCATCTCCTCCTCCTCCATCTCCTCCTCCTCCTCCTCCTCCTCCTCCTCGTCCTCTTCCTCCTCCTCCTCCTCCTCGTCCCCCTCCTCCTCCTCCTCCTCCTTCTCCTCCTCCTCCTCCTCCTCCTAGCCCGCCCTCGTCGAAGTGCCGCCTCTCTGTCAGACTCGGAGGAGGAAGAGAGGAGGCGTGAGCTCGGTAGATCGCTGGTCAAAACGGCTACCCGTCTCGACGCCGATTCTGGCTCCTCGGACTGACATCCTGTGTGTGCCCAGGGGCAAACACTTTCTTTTCAGCCCACCTGAGGGGAGAGGCTTGCCACCGTCCCGGCGCTCCCTGCACCAGGGGTAGGCGAGCTTTGTCCTCCTCGTGAGGTCTATCAGATTTGTGTTGTGTTTGGATTTCCTGTACTGCGTAGTGCAAGGGTCTGGCACGGGGGTTTTACTAACCCCGACCGTTGCCTCTCCCTTTCTCAGACTCGACTGCCTGTAGTCTTTGTCCCCTGCGTTGGAGCGGAAGGCGGCGGGTCCTTGATCGCTCTGCCCAGTTGGTCTTTGGCCGTATCTGGAGGGCCCGTCACGGGGGCACTGGCTCGGTGGTGGAGTCCGGCCCACACCAGGGGTAAAGTTAGGGGCCGTCCAGGTGTTCTGTACACCTGGGGCTTCCTGGCTCTGTCGTCATGGCGTCGCCTGTGGTTTCATTTTCAGTGTATACTGATGAGGTTGTGCGGATTGCGCGATTTCATCTTGAAATGTTCTGTGTTGCCCGTGGCAGTTAAGTTCAAGCTGGGAGGGAGGAGACGGCCATCCCCCGCGTCCTAGCACTTGCCCAGTGCATGCAGCGTGGTGCAATTTCTTGCGCGGACAGCGCGTGTCTGTGTTATTTTTGTTCCTGCCAATGGCGCACGGCCCGATGCGACTGACCCTTAGGGCAGGCATCCGTGTGCATACCCCACATCTGGGGCGAGGCCTGCCACCGTCCTGGCGCTCCCTGCACCTGGGGCGGCAGGTCTCGTCGTCCTTGTGTGGGTGGTCGATTCTGGCATCCCAGTTTTCTTGGTGGCAGCTCCTGCCACCATGCGCACTGCCCCCCCCCCCCCCCCCCCACTTTCCCCGTACAACAAGGTCTGTATGGTGTGGGCGGGGGTTGGAGTCGCGATCTCCCGCGTCTCCCCGACCTCCTGCTTCCCAACGCGTTGCAGACTTGGTCAACAACAGAGGGGTGTCGCCTCCTGCCCTCTGTGTTTCAAACTCGAAGAGATTGGACAGGAACCAAAAAAAACCTCCTCCTCCTCCTCCTCCTCCTCCTCCTCCTCCTCCTCCTCCTCCTCCCCTCCTCCTCCCCCCTGTTTCTCCTCCTCCTCCTCCTCCTCCTCTTCCTCCCCCTGTTTCTCCTCCTCCTCCTCCTCCTCCTCCTCCTCCTCCTCCTCCTCCTCCTCCTCCTCCTCCTCCTCCTCTCCTGTTCCTCGTCAGCATCTCCTCCTCGTCGTACAGCCAGAACGGCCCGTTGATCAGAGAAGCCCTGGCGTTTCGCCCACGCGAGACGTCCGGCCCCCGCAAGAAACGCGCCAGCCTCTGCCGACACGTCTGGGCGGCGCGACGTAAAGGGGGGAGAGGCTTGTTCGGCTACACGCAAGAGAGACCCTTGTCAATAGTGGCCTTTGGTGCGCGGCTTTTTTGGGGGGCCGCGAGGGAACCAAACTTAAGCGCGCAAGACGCTTCTATCGCGTCGCGCTCGGCGATCGGGGGGCCCCTGTGGGCCCGCACTTAAGGTCACTGCGGCGAAGGGTCACTCTTACGTGTAGTCGACTTGTGAGCAGGAGGTGCCGAAAAGGAGGACGAAGAGAGGGAAAAGGGGGAGAAGCGGCACGAAGAGGCGGAGGAAACGCGGGGACAGAAGGGCTCCCTCCCCGCGTCCCGCCCCCACCCGCAAGACCTCCAAAACGACCGAATATCTTTCATCTGACCATGTTCTAATCGTCTCGGCCGCTTCCACGAGACCATCTTCTAATCATGGGACGGTTTTCTCATCCTGTGCCACGAAACGGAGCCCAGGCACTGGGGACGGCGCACAAAGCCTAGGGTCCCACTTGGTGCTCGAATCGCCAGCAACGTCTGAAGAGAGGGGCGAATGAGGGAGGAGGAGGAGGAGGCGGAGGAGGAGGAGGAGGCGGAGGCGGAGGCGGAGGAGGAGGAGGAGGAGGAGGCGGAGGAGGAGGAGGAGGACGAGGAGGAGGAGGAGGAGGAGGAGGAGGAGGAGGAGGAGGGGGAGGAGGAGGACGAGGAGGAGGGGGAGGAGGAGGGGGAGGGGGAGGAGGCGGGAGGCGAGACGCTCCCCCACCCCGCGTGCGTGTGAAGAGAGGAGCGTGGCGTCCCCCCCCCCCGGCCTGGGGCGCCTGCGCGCCCGCGCCCTGGTCGGGCGCTCCGCCGTCCTTCATGGGCCCCTCGGCCGGCGGGCGCTGGGCGGCGTCCTCGTCGGCCACGTTCGGCGAATTACAGTCGGGGCCTTGACCTAAGGAACGCCCTTTCTCCGGGAGCCCTTGGACGCCCATGGAGGCGCCCCCTCGGGGCAGCGGCCTCCTGCGCGTGGAGCCGATCACGGGCCGTGATGATCGCGCACTTCCGCTCCCCCGGAGAGGCAGCGCCGGGTGCGGAAGCCCGCGGAGAACCGCAGGGGATGGCGAAGACCGAGCGAGCAGTCCACGGCCCCAAGTATAACTTATGGGAAAAAGGGACGAAGTCCCTTTTTCCCATAAGTTAAACTCCGATTTTCCATTGAAAGCCACAAGAAAACCCAAGGAGCATCGCAAAACAACTAAGGAGCACGGAGCCCCTCCCAAACGAAAAGGGTTCCTTCCTCAGCGGCCCGACTGTACACGCAGAGAGTGACCCACAAGAGTGACCCTTGGTGCGCGGCCAAAGGTCGGGTGTTGCTAGAAGTGCCCCTGGCCCAAGGTTCCCCCAGGATTCGCGGGGTGGCCCAGAGGGCCTCCAGAGCACCCCTGACGAGGCCCAGAGGGCCCCAGGGGCCCGAAAACGAAGCGAAAAGCTGGGGGTCCCTTGGGCCAGGGGCACTTCTAGCAACACCCGAAAAGTGGGGCAAGGTGGCCAAATCCAAGCGCACAGGCAGCCTCCATCGCATCGCGCTCCGCGATCGGGAGGACCACCCCAGCGAGCCCGCACCCGCGCCGACGATCTGCTCTCCATTTCCGGCCTCCGGGGTCCTCTTCTGGGTCCCGCGCCACAAAAAACGGCACAGGATGACAAAAGTATCCCGGGGAGGGGATCGGGATGCACGGAGGCAGCAGTCGCGCAACAATCGTGACGTCGGAGGTCTGGGTCGTCGTCGTCCTCCTGCTCCATCTCTTTGCCTGTATAAATAACTCCTCCCTGTCGCACCCCCAGACGTGTCAGTAGGGAGGCCCTTGCGTTTCGCCTGCGAATCCTCGTCACGTGATCCTGAAGATTGAACAATGACAATTTCACGGATGGCTCTCTCTCTCTCTCTCTCTCTCTCTCTCTCTCTCTCTCTATATATATATATATATAGATATTCCTCTTCCTATATGTTTACAAGCCCGGGGGGGAACAACAACCCTCCCCCCCCCAAAAAAAAAACTGGAACCCCGGGATCTGGGGTTCTCGGGCTCCCTTGGACGTCCTTGGAAAAGGTCACCCGGCTTTCCGGGTCTCCACAAACGCCTTGCCAGCAGACCCAGAGCGATCCGAGGAATCATCAGAAAGGCCCAAGAGAGGCCCTAGATAGCACAAGAGCGCTCCAAGAGGGACTGAAAATTGCGTCAGGACGGCCCAGAAGACCCCCAAGGCACCCCAAAAAGCTTTCCAAGGGGCCTTCAAAGCACAAACATCGTCCCATTCCCTTCGTAAAACGTACAATTTTAGCATATTCGCCTTTCGGATTTCACCCCAACATGCCCTTAAGAAAGCTTCAAGACGGCCGAGCCGGGCTCCATGATCGCCCACGCGAGCCCCAAGACAGCCCATAATGGAACCAAGAGGCCCCCAAGGGCTCCCAGCACAGACCCAAAAGGGCCTCCAACGGGCCCAAGCTCCACAAGACGGCCCAAGACGGCCCCTGGATGGCCCATGAAGGCGCCAAAACGGCCCACGAGGGCCCCGAAAACACCCCCACCATGTTTCCGAATGCCAACATAAAGACCCACAAGGCACCCCAAAAAGCTTTCCAAGGGGCCTTCAAAGCACAAACATCGTCCCATTCCCTTCGTAAAACGTACAATTTTAGCATATTCGCCTTTCGGATTTCGTCAGCTTTCAAGACGGTTACAAAGCCCCCGAGATCGCCTCAAGACGCCCCGAAATGCCCCCAAGAAAGCTTCAGGACGGCCGAGCCGGGCCCCACGATCGCCTACGAGAGCCCCAAGACAGCCCATAATGGAACCAAGAGGCCCCCCAAGGGCTCCCAGCGCAGACCCAAAAGGGCCATGGGAGGTCCCCGGAAGTGCCCAAGATGGGTCCAAAGGGGGCTCCAGCGGGCCCAAGCTCCCCAAGACGGCCCAAGACGGCCCCAGGACGGCCCATGAAGGCGCCCAAACGGCCCACGAGGGCCCCGAAAACACCCCCACCATGTTTCGGAATGCCAACATAAAGACCCACAAGGCACCCCAAAAAGTTTCCCAAGGGGCCTTCAAAACACAAAAATCGTTTCACCCCCTCCGTAAAACTTATAATTCTAGCATATTCGCCTATCGGATTTCATCAGCTTTCAAGACGGTTTCAAAGCCCCCGAGATCGCCTCAAGACGCTCCAAAAGGCCCCCAAGAAAGCTTCAGGCGGCCGAGGCGGGCCCCACGATCGCCTACGAGAGCCCCAAGACAGCCCATAATGGAACCAAGAAGCCCCCCGAGGGCTCCCAGCGCAGACCCAAAAGGGCCATGGGAGGTCCCCGGAAGTGCCCAAGATGGGTCCAAAGGGGGCTCCAGCGGGCCCAAGCTCCAAGACGGCCCAAGAAGGCCCCAGGACGGCCCATGAAGGCGCCAAAACAGCCCACGAAGGCCCAGAAAACACCCCCACGATGTTTCCGAATGCCAGCATTCATTGATTTTGCTCCCATGACATTTGACATTGTGACCCAGTCGTTGAGGGTCTCGTGGCATGCAGCGAAGATGCCCGAGGATGCCCCGTACGAGTTGCATATGCATGTTCATACCCTTACACACATAACCTTATATGTACAAATGTATGCTGTTTACACACATACAACAATGTAAATCTTTTGTGGGCACCTAGACATTTATACGGAAGGTGCATGCGCGTGCGAGTGTATACATGCATGCGCCCATGTACGTACGCACGCATTCCGCTTGCGTGCAGAACTCAAAGGACCAAGGTGCATGGCGCGCAGCCCCAACGCAGTCTTGTATATCCACACACACATATATATCTATATATATATATATATGTATATGTATGTTGTGGGACGTTTCAAACGTTGCTCTCGCCATCGCGCCGAGCACATTCACTTTCAAAGTTAGCAAATGTTTCGCGGATGGAGGGCGGGATGTTTTCAAATTGTGGCCCTCGCCTGAGCACCGCCCACATTTTCTTGAAGGTTTGCAACAACTTCACGGTGGTTTCCAGAATGCGATTTTCAGTTCAGCGCCGCGCAGAAGTCGCCTGCCCAAAGAATTCAACCGTTTCACGGATGGAGGGCGGTCCGTTTTCAAAATGTGGCTGTCGCCTTCGCCACGCGCCAAATTCGCCCCAGACGTTTGCAACAAATTCACGGACTGGGGGCGGGCCATTTTCAAAAAGTGGCTCGCTTTTCCACGCCGCGCACATTCGTCTTAAAAACTTGCAACAATTTCAATCGTATGGTCGAAATCCCAGGCGTAAGGTTCTGGCCCGATTTCGGATTGTCAGGACGCACTGATTACACTGATTCGCCATGTCGAGATCTCAGGCGTAGTTTTCTGACGCGGTTTATGATTGTCAGGGCGCGTCAATCACATTGATCCGCGGCGTGAGAGTCACAGGAACGGCAGTTTGGCACAATTGAGGATTCTCAGACAATTGTCTTCAAATTGGCCACTTCCCGAAATGAAGCTCAATCCTTTCAGTGACCTATGAGGGAACTTGGAGTGAAGGTTCATTGTAACATCGTCGATGCACCTTGGATTTACACTGATCTTCCTGTTCCGAGTCGCCGTTCTGCATGATCCTCTCGGCTGGATGCGTTTGGCTGCGTCGTCGTCCTCGTCTTTGCAGTCCTTTCCTTGTCCTCGTCGCCGTTCTTTGTAATCCCCTCGGCTAGTGGGCGGGATGGGACACGGATGAGGGACGGAGGTGAACGTTACCGTTACCAAGACACCTGGCTGGCGTCCTGAAGCAACATCAAGATGGATACGTTGTCTGAGTCTGGGGGGTTGGCGCGGCAACGGGAACGGGACACACATCACAGTGTGACGTTCAATCAAACTAAGGTGTCGCGAGCTCTGGATATGATTTTGCTCCAGCTAGCGGGTGCCTCTGCCAAAGCCCGAGCGTGCCAACTCACGGTCTGGCGCATCCACCGCTGCACCGGCGTGCCCTCGATTCCCAGCACGCGCAGGGACTTCGAGACGTCAACCTCCCCCTGGCGCTCGTAGTTGCGCAGGGCGGGGTCGTCCGGGACCTCCTGCGTGCAGAGGCCAAGGCACGACGCGATGCCTCCGACGTACTCGCCCAGAGTCATCGACGCCGGGCAGGCGATGTTGAACGCCTCGCCATGAACGCGCTCCCCGAGCTCCACGACGGCCGCCACCGCCTCCGCCACGTCGCCGCTGTACGCCACGCGGAACCTCCCCGGGCGCACGGTCGGCGGCCGCTTCGACGCCCTGGCGGGCAGCGGCGGCAGGCCCGCCACCAAGCGCTGCAGCCGCTCGTGGCGGCTGTCGCAGCCAGGCCCCACAACGGCGGGGGGGCGCAGCACCGTCCAGCGCAGGCCCTGCTCCGCGCGGGCGCGCTGCAGCGCCGCCTCACACTTCAGCTTCCTGCCACCGTAGGTGTCGGGCGCGGCGTGCGCGGCCGACAGGTTGGCCGCGCCCTCGGCGACCGGCTGCGGCAGCGACGTAATGTCCATGTCCTCGACGCCCCCCGGGTAGACCATGTTCGTCGAGATGAAGATGTAGTGCTCTAGGGGCCGCCTCCGGTGCACCTCCACAACGTCGGCGATGTGCCTAGAGGCCTCCTGAATGGGGCCCGAGTAGTTGGGGTCAGAGGTTCGCGCCGCATCTCCGATGCATGCATCGCCGATGTATCGACGACGTGGGCGATGCATCGGCGCCGTTGGCGTGGAGAAAGTAGGTCTCGGCATCGAGCCGCATCGGCGATTCATCGGCGATGGGGCGTGAATCTCCGACCCCGTCTCACTGCTCGGACTATGTTGTTCCCATCGTACTTAAGGACCGCATCCCCAAAACAATTTCGAACACCGAGACCAGTATCGAAACAGTGTTTGTCCGTCACGCTGGCGAAGTGTCGAACGAATATCGCCTCCCAGGGCCCGCCACGCGAAAACCTTCCCGTCTCGATGCCCTCTTGGTGCACTAAACTTGTTCTGCCGATCAGAGCTGGAGTAGGTTGGCACATCAGGATACTCGGACCCCACTGGGCAGGCCAAAAGTGCCTCGGCAGCATGGCCGTGAAGTCGACCACGACGCGCGGGCGGCCCTCGCCGCTCAGCGCCTCCACGAACGACGCGCTGTGGCCGCGATCGCACGCCAGCATCTCGCAGCCCCGCGCCTGCTCGGGCCTGGCGCCGCCCGCGCCGCCGCCGCGAGCGCTGCCGCGGGCGAGTACGACGACGCGGTGGCCGCGCTCTTGCAGCAGCCGGGCGGTCGGCGCGCCCATCAAGGGAGGACGCAGGCTGCTTACACCTGCGCCGATCCTGGCCAGGCCTGACCTGGGCCCAAGATCGGTGCACATGTGCTCCTGTCAGAGCCAGGAGGGCGTATACACCGATCCAGATGCTGGGCCGATTTTCCACCACCGCGACTGTAGAGGTAGGAGAAAGAGCAGGGGAAGCAGGAGGAGGATGAGGAGGACGAGGAGGAAGAGGAGGAAGAAAGAGGAGGAGGAGGAGGAGGAGGAGGAGGAGGAGGAGGAGGAGGCGGAGGAGGGCCTCCCCATCCGCCCTCCTCCCCCGCCCTGCCTCTGGTGGTGGTGGACAATCGGCCCCTCCAGCCCAGGCGCAGCCTCTGGCCAGGACGGGCGCCATCAGGCGTGCAGCCGGTGCCCTCCGACCTCAGGCCCGTGCCCCCCACCACCAGCACGTCAGGCCGCGCGCCCGCGCACGCGAGCGCCCAGCGCCGCGGGCCGCCCAGCGCCAGGCCGCCGAGCGCGCCACAGGCGCCCGCGGCGAGGGCCCGGCGCCCCGCGCGGCGGGAGCTGCGCGCCGCGGCCGCCATGGTGGCGGCGGGGTCGCGCCGACAGCACGCAGGAGCGGATTTTGGTGGTGGCCACTCGTGGGAGCCTTCGTGGAGCGATGCCACCTTGTCAGCCCCTGCGACTCGACGCTGATCGACGCTAAATCGACGCTAAATCGACGCTACATCGACGCCAAGTCGACGTTTGCCGGCGCTAGATCGGCGCTACCTCATAGACTCCCAGACGCTAATCGACGCTAGTCGACGCTAAAAGCGGAATTCAGAGGGTATCACACCAGGCTCTCACGATTTGCGACCGAAGCAGCGACGGAGCCGCTTCAACTGCACGCAAGAACGAACCTGAGCGAGAGTAACGCTTGGTGCACGGCTTCAGGTGGCGGATTCTGGAAACCCTGAAACCAAACACGTTTTTGTTAGTCTCTAGGGGGCGTATCTTTTACTTCTGCCGCTTTCCGCCGAGCGGGAGGGAGGGAGGAAGAGGGGGAGGGCAGAGGAGGAAGGGAAGGGAGGGAGAGAGGAGGGGGGAGGAGGGGAAGGGAGGGAGGACGGAGGGAGGCAGGAGGGAGGGAGGAGAAGGCCCCGCCCGGGCTTGGCCTGGCCACCGGCTCGCCCGTGCATGGGTGAGCAGCGCCGGCAGCGGGAGGCAGGCACAGGGGTACCTGCGTCCTGTGTGCGCTTCGCGCTGCGCAGTTGGATTTCGTTCTCTCGTGCGGGCCTTGTCGAGAAAGGCACCTCCCCAGCCCAGACCCCCGAAGGGCAAAGTGCAACTTGTTCGTTCTCTCGTCCAGGAGGGTGCCTCCCTAGCCCAGACCCCGCAGGGCGACGTGCGAGGACCTCTGGGCCCCAACGCGGCTGCCTTGTGAGACGCAGGGTGACGGAAGAGCGACGAGAGAGGAGGCGAGGCGAGGCGAGGCGAGGCGAGGCGAGGCGAGGGCCGATGAGGCGAGGCGAGGCGAGGCGAGGCGAAAGAAGAGAAAGGAGGAGGGAAAGGGAGAGGGGGCCCCAGAGATCCAACGTATTGAATAAATCAAGATGGACTTTGTTCCCAAAGTTCGGCCTCCAGGGGCCCTCGCCGGGCCCCGGGGCCCTCAAAAAGCGGCTCAAGAGGAAGAGCCGGTCCCAGGGAATGGGTCGAGACTTCCAGGGACTGCGCACTGACAAGAGTCACGACGTCGGATCCCTGGAGCTGGGGAGGGAGAAGGCGGGGGGGGGGCACAGGCCAGGCTCGCTCGCGCCATGCCTGGCATCCGACCCCTCCAACCCGTCCCTTCCCGGTGCGCCGATGCGTCTCCATCCGCCGACGGCTGTCACAGTGGAGCTGAAATCCCGCAGGGCAGGTGAACTGTGTACATTGGTCGAGGAGGAGGAGGAGGAGGAGGAGGAGGAGCAGGAGGAGGAGGAGGAGGGGGAGGAGGATTCTCCCGCTCGCGCGCTAGCGAGCTGTCTCCGTGCGCGGCCGCGGCGTGCGCGCGCGGGGCGGCCCAAAATGGGCAGGCCCGTCCCGCGCGCTCAAGCCGGGGCGCCGCGCGTCAGACGGTGGAGTCCGTCTGGTCGCCGATGTCGGCGAGGCAGCGCCCGTCAGCCTTAGAATGGGAGAGGAGGGAGGGGGGCAGAGAAGCTGCGGAGACAGCAGGAGCTTGCTCACAGAGAATAGAAGAAGCATTCTCCCGCTCGCGCGCTAGCGAGCTGTCTCCGAGCGCGGCCGCGGCGTGCGCGCGCGGGGCGGCCCAAAATGGGCAGGCCCGTCCCGCGCGCTCAAGCCGGGGCGCCGCGCGTCAGACGGTGGAGTCCGTCTGGTCGCCGATGTCGGCGAGGCAGCCATACCCGTGCTCAAGGACCTTGCGAAGTGACAAGGTTTTGGCGGGCGGCCGCAAGCAGGGCAGGCCAAGCGGCGGGGCCGACTTGGAGGAAAGAAGCGACGAGGCGGTCGCTGGCGGTGGCGAAGAACAAGATACGAGCCCGCGCGTGCTCGGGCAGCGCAGCAAGAACTGTCGAGGCGGCGGCGGCTTGCAGGTAGCGCTCGGCACTGGAAGCCTGACGCCAACGCCCACGCCAGAAGACGCGAGGGACGTCTTCCGTAGCGATATAGAAGTCTGTTGCGCCAGAGCCCCGCAGACAAGCGGGCGTCAGGTTGAGCCCCTGACCTGCTTTGGCAAGAGGGACGCCCAGAGCCAAAAGCAGATGATTCCACCGAGTACGGAAGCCGCTCGCACCGAAGGGGGCGAGAGGATCGGTGGAAGCCAACCTTCCAAATACTTGACTCAAAATCTTCACCGTGCCCCGATCGGAGCAGCGAGCATGTTGCGTCGGGTACGTTCTTCTGGTCTTTGGAACAAGAATTGAAAGAAAAGCATCCCCGTCGACCTCGAGACGGTCGCATGGAAGCGACAGGTCACAGCGGCGTGACGCCAGCAGTTCGCCAGGCCTGAGGAACATCGTGAAGCCCATGAGCAGCAGCGCCGCCATCACAGGCCAGTCCCAGGCGAGACAGAGCCCGACCATGGCGCGCAGCAGCGCGCGTGGCAAGGGGGGACGAAGCTTTGGCGGCTCCGCAAGCTTCCATTGTTTCGCTACGTCCCAAGCTTCTGTCAGAAAGGCCTTCCAATGCGGATGGGCGCTTTGGATTCCCAAGATGGCATGGACCAAAATATAATGAGGGAAACCTGCATCATGAAGCCACACGCCGAAGGTCGCGAGGAAACGAGCGAGAAGTATCCCGCTTCGGTAAAGTGTGGCGGGTGGCACGCCAGTGTGTTCTGCTAACCACAGCTCGAAGGCATCAATCGATCTCGAGCGACGGTCGAGATACGCGGAGGTGAGGTGAGAATCGCGCACAAAGGGAGTGCGCGGAGGGCGAGCGGGCGCGGACGGCGCAGCCCGACTAAGCCCTTGGCCTGCGGTCGGCGCCGCGGCTCCCAGAGAGATGCAGAGGCCGCAGACGCACCACAGGATGAGCGCAGGGCGGCCAGGGCTTGGAGAGCTGATCACCGTGGCGGCCCTCCTGCGCCTGGACGCGTAGAAGGGCGGAACGAGGGCGTCCCGCCCGTCGGTCTCGAACCCCGACGCCTCCGCCAGCATCGCCCGCGCCGAGCTGAAGGACCCGCCCATGTTACGGTAGGCACGGCGAGCCCCTGCTTCGATCTCGGCTGGCAGAGCGTCCCCTCTCTCGAGGGTCGGCCAGTCAAAAGGCGGGCGCGGCTCGGCACGCGCAGCTGCGGCTGCTTCGGCAAGCTCGGAACGAGCTGCCGAGGACGTGAGGCCCGAATGATGTGGCACGGGCACCACCTCCGCGAAGGCGTCGAGGATCTCGGACGGAGGGGAATGGGATCCCCACAGCGCTGCTGGGATGGCGCCGTGACTGTCCTGCAGGTGGTACAGAAGGTCGAAAAGGCAGGCCAGTTTGCCCGCGCGCCGCCGCTGCTCGATCTTTGAGCCGAGCCCGATGCCACGGATGGCGCCCGCCCCCATGGCCTGGAGGTCAGCATCCGCGGGGATCGCCTCGGGCTCGACGATGGCCACGTAAGGATGCAGCCACGAGGCCTCGTCAAGCGGCTCGGCGCCGCCTGTCTGAAACAGGCGCTTGTAGGCGTGCAAGGCCCGCAGGAGGCAGTGCAGGTCATCCTTGCCCTCAGGCTCGGCGGCCCCTGCGGGTGCAAAAGTCCTCAGCCACGACGCCGCGCTCTGGAAAGCACCTTGCCAGGCGGGTCCCCACCTCACCACTGTGATCTTCTCACCGCCTAGGTTGAGGCGCCACGCTAGGGCGCTGGCGGCCCCTGGAGGCAAGGGCTGCTCAGCGGCCGCCGAGGCCGTGCGCCGCGCTGCGAAGGCTGCAGCCGCGGCGCTTCCAGCGTCACCACTGTGAGAGCCGCTGAGAGGCAGCTCGGGCTCAGAAGCTCGACCAAGCGCGAAGCCGCTCGAAGACCCCCCTTTCTCGGCGGCACGCCCTCCTCCCTGCGGGGCCGCAACAGCATCGCTGGAAGAGCGCATGCCTACCGAAGTCGGAGGGGCCTGAGCAGCGGAGTCCGCGCGGGAGCTGGCTGGCCGCTGCGAAGTGGCGGGGCTCGGGCGACGCTTCGGAGCGACTCGAGGGGAGCGCACCACGCGACGCCCAGGCGACGCACGGGAACGCGACGCCGCACGCCCACCAGAGTGGTGACGGGGTGGCGATGGCGGCGGGGGGACGGGCCGCGGCGTCTCGGAGCCAGCACGCGTGCCGCGGCCCCGAGAGCGGCTGCGAGCCGCAGCGTGAGCGGCGGGCGGGGAGGCCTCCGCGCGGCGAGGGAAGGCCGCCTGCAAGCGGCGGAGGGCCTCAGGGTTAAGGCCCGCCACGACGCGCTCGAGGTCCACCGAGGAGTCAGTGAGGGCACTCAAAACGACGTCCTCGAGCTCCGTCGGTGAGTCCTCCTCGCACGCGGGCTCCGCTCTCGAGCGGCTGCGGGCGCTCGCTGGAGGAGACCCCTCAGGAGTGTGCGGGCCTTCCGATGCCTCCCCCGCCGGCGGCCCCGACGGCTCCTCAGGCGCGCTCGAGACGTCGATGGGAGGCGAGGAGCAGCCTCCCGAGGGGGAAGTGTAATCAGTCCCGTACGGGTTCGGAGACCGCGTACGGCTGCGGGCAGGGCTGCGGCTCCGCGGTGGAGGGCCCACTCCCGCGGCGGAGCTGGGGCGTGCCGCGCCTGCCCAGCGACGCGCATTAGCAGTGCGACGCGCCCTGCGGCCCGGCGTCGTGGCGGCTCCCTCTTCAGGGGCGGGTAGCGCCGCCGTCGAAGCTCGCCGCTGCTTCTTGGCGCGCTTGTTGCGCGCGGCGCCCGTGCGCGAGGCGGAGTGTGGCGCGTGATCACCGCGATTGGGCTGGTCCTCGACAGCCTCGTCCCGCGGGCCCAGGCGGGCGCGGACCGCGCGCCCCTCGCGACGGCTGAAGCTGGACGCTGGGTCGTCGGCAGGCCTCGC